AACCTTTTCATGAGTTTTTATAGTAGTGGTCTCATACAATATTTGTCCTTTTGTGATTGACTTATTTCACTCAGCATAATGCCCTCCAGATTCATCCATGCTGTGAGATGCTTCGCAGATTCATCATTGTTCTTTAGAATTTCATATAAACGGAATTCTGCACTGTGCAGTCTTATGTCTGGCTTCTTTCAGCTAGTGGTAGAATACCTAGTATACTGCAGTATTGCGTAGTATTCCATTGTGTGTGTGTGTACCATAGTGTTTATCCATTCATCTGTTGATGGGCATCTAGGTTTTTTCCATCTTTTTGCTATTGTGAACAATGCTGCAGTGAGCATGGGCGTGTGTATGTCTTTTCCTGTGACGGCTCTTATTTCTCTAGGATATATTTCTAGAGGCTAGGATCTTTCAATGTCTTTGTTAGAGTAGTGGCCACGAGAGTAGTACCAGCAATGATAAATTTAAGGAGGTAGAGTTGTTATTTCTAGTTGTAATTGTTCTCTTGTTATTTCTAGTTGTAATTGTTGTATAAAGCAAGTAAAAGCCTCCTTAATTAAAAACAAAAACCTAAAGAACCACATAGAGAACAGTATAGTGAACCTATGTACCCACACCCAGATTTTCAGATGCTATTTTGCCACAATTGTTTTAGGTTTTTTTTTTTTTTAATTCTCTCTCCAAGAAATGACTAATTTCAGGTAGAATTGAACCCCTCTGTATACCCTGCCTAATTCCAGTTCCATAACTTCCCTCAAGCTGGAGGTATATGAGGGGTTCATCATGAATGTTTTTATATTTCTGTTTATTTTTAATAGCAAGCTTATATTAATGTGATACAATAGTTTTTGTATACCCAAGTTAGATTTTAACAGTCACTATTCTACAATAAAAGGAGCCCTGGTGGCGCAGTGGTTAAGCTCTTGGCTGCTAACCGAAAGTCAGTGGTTCGAACTCAACAGATGCTCCGAGGGAGAAAGATGTGGCAGTCTGGTTCCATAAAGTTTACAGCCTTGGAAACCCTATGCGGCAGTTCTGCTCTGTCCTCCAGGGTCACTATAAGTCAGAATCGACTCGATGGCAGTGGGTTTGGTTTGGTTTATTCTGTAATAAAAACTTATGTGGTATCTTGTTCTCTACGGAAAGACAAATTAGGTAATGTAACAGTCACAGGATTGTCTAGGATTGAGTAGGATGCAGAAAATCCTCTAAGACAGAAAATATATAAGCTCTTGTGATCGTAATTATTCTCATTTTACTGATGAGGAAACTGAAACACCTTGTCCAGTGTCACATATACCAAAAAAACCCACTGCTGTCGACTCCAACTCAAAGCGACCCTAGGACAGAGGAGAACTGCCCCATAGGATTTCCAAGGCTGTACATCTTTACAGAAGCAGGCTTCCACATAGCTAGTGGTGGAACCTGCATTTGAAGCTGGGAAGTCTGGTTCAGAGTCAGTTGCTCTTACTGCACTGTGCTTCCTGTGCAGGCATTAGTTAATGGGGCTTAAATAAAGGATTTGCTTTCTGAGGCTAAGGGGAACTTTATTTTTAAACTAATTTATAAAGGTGTCAATAAAAGTGAGTCCAAAATTATTTTAAATTGCTGGTATCACATCCTTCATAAGATAAAGCAAATGAGCCTTGTTAGATTAGTCAAAACCTATTGAAACACTTACTTAAAAAACCTAGAATTCAAAGA